ACCAATAAATAAACTACGCTAAAGTAGATGCTAACGGCTAAAAGTACTGCTAACATTGTTAGCAGCTGTTTAAAGTGGCCAGAGGTGATTTAAACAGCGTTTTTCAAACGCAACAGAGGTTCAAAAACAGAGGAAAAATGATAAGTGACTAGGACTAAGTCTCTGAACTGTTCCGGGCCTTTAAGTCTTTGATGCCACCATCAGGAAGCAGCCTATGGACCTCTGACTGTTTGACCTCTTACTTTAGGAGTAATCCAAGCGATACTTTACTGAAAATGGTTTGAAAAGTTAGTTTTAATTAACCTCAGAGCTCCACCTAAAGAAGCTTCTTGGATCAGAGGCCAAATGTCTTCTAGAAAACTTCCCCTCCAGCTGCCTGAACTGGACTCTTCAAGCTTGAACGTGATCTGGATGACGTATCTTCACAGATACGTTTACAGAAAAGTCCAATTTGCTACACATGTTTGAATCAGATTCCCCTCACACTCTCACTGAGCTCATTGCTGGTTGTTGCCGAGGAAGATGCCCCCCGCCCTCTCTGGTTCTGCCTAAAGGCAGTTTTTCCTTCCCTGTGTCGCCTAGTGCTGCTTTTGGTGGGATTTGTTGGGCTTGATAAATACCTTCAGAGTCCGGTCTGACTCTGTTTGGAAAGCTGGGAGATAACTGTTGTTGTGATTTGGCGCCGTATAAATAAAGTTGAATTGAATTGTTCTAGCAGGCTGGAGAAGCCAGGCCTGACTTTTAACTGTGGCTGTTGGGTCATCGGATCTGAATGTGGAGAGCTTCGTCCTGGAGGTCAGAGCCCCCCAAAACACGAGTCAACCGGGTCAGAGCCCCCCCCCCTTTGTCTCCCCACAGCAAAGCTTACAAACTGATGCCAGTTTCTGATCAGTTGGCCCATCGTGCCGGTAGCATGCTGGGTAAAACCTGCGTGTTGCGTGTAGTTCCTGGGTCTGGTCGGCTTCATAGTTTTGTGGTGACCTCAGCGTGTCTGCGTTCGGTTTAGATGTGAACTAAAGCTGTTATTTATCCAGTCTGTGGTTCGGTGACTCCTGCGCGCCCCCTCGAACCGAAACCCTCCGGTTTTTCATTGGTTTTCTGCTCTTTACAGAAGGAAAACGGCATTCCACGACGGCTCCGGGATCCGAGATCCAACACGTCCGTGTCCTGGTGGAAAGGTCACGGACACCCGTCTTGCTCAACTCCTCAATCTTTTGTTACTCCAGCTTTTCGAGGGGGCTCAAAGTGAGTCGGTAATGCTGATGCACCACGGCTGGAGGCTGTAAATATCTTAATCTGTCACCAGTTTCAGAGCGCGCGCGCCCCCGGGGCTCGTAAAGCAGTCAAACACACCTGAGGCGGACAAAGGAAAGAGCGTTTTCTCACAGTTCTCGTCCTGAGCGATGCACTGCAGCGGGATGCCGAAGAAGGAGGTGTAGGAGTCGTTGTACCACACCAGCAGCTCCGTCCCTCTGGGGATGTCCATGCAGGCCCTGTAGAAGATGCAGGACCTGCAACACACAGCACACGTTCACCGCCCGCCTGCCCACACGCTCAGCCGCAGGTCACCCCCCTCAGAACAGCATGGTCAGTGGGGCAGAAGGTGGGAGTAAAATTATTTAGTCAGCAATTTTTGCATTTTACCTTTTTTTTGTTGTTGCATTTAACAGTGGTTTTTTTTTGCATTTAACCTTATTTTGCACTTCACTTTTTTTTTTGCATTTACCTTTTTTTCTTTTCATATATTTTTGCACTTATTTTTTTCCTTTAGCAACTTTTTTTGCATTTAACTTTTTTTGTATTTTATATTTTTTTCCATTTTTTCCCATTTTTTTTTTCATATAACAATTCTATTTCATTTAACTTTTGTTTTCCACTATTGACATTTTTTCTGCATTTAAGAACTTTAACGTTTTTGTCGGTTGTTTTTTTTTTTGCATTTAACAACATTTCAGCTTGTGTTTATTGTATGATTACGTCATCGATTAGATTGTTTTCATCTGAATGGTCCGATGACAGGAGGGTAAAACAGAAAGCTGTCAAAACCTCAGATGGAAAAGGGAGAAGGAGAAAAATCTCACCGGGATGAAGAACAGCTTTTGAAAGTGGTTGAAAGACAGCAGGTGAGTTCTGTCCAGGTGGGCATGTAGACGTTCAGCTAAACCTGCTGTAAAACGACAGGTTGCTGCAGTATTTCAGCTTTATCGGGATTTATACCAGAACAGATCAGGACCAGAAACAGAGGAAACCAGTTTGTGGTTCAGCTGCTCAGAGGTAGAAGTTTAACAGACGCCGAGTCATAAAACAGAGAAATGAAGAACTTGGGAATGAAACTCTGGAGTTTAAATGTCTGAGAAGAATTAAGAATTAAGTTTGATGTTTTTAGATGAAAAAAGTGGGGGTTTAATATGTCTGCATACCCCAAAAAGTAGGTGGTTGCGGCCCTGGAACCACCTGAAGCTGCAGCATGCTGAGCCAGACTGGCCCAAAAAGGTCCAGGTCCGACTTAAATAAAACACCCCGATAAGATCGTAGTTTCACATCCCGGCAGTCCAGATGATTCATAGGAAATATCTGGCGTCTTTCACTCTCCATGGAGCAACTAATGACCATGAAGTTGTTCAATCACGCAGCCCGGTGTGAGCTGACGGCTGCTGGGCCACACGGCCACTAAAACAACACCTCCTCCACCCAAAGCCATCATTCTGACCACGCCAAGCACCCCCGTCCTGACCCGCTCGCTCTCAGCCAGCCTGGACTATTTTAAAACACTTTCCCACGTGTTTTTCTCCCACTCGGGTGGCGGCTTGTCAGACGGATCAGATCGTAACCGGGAGGTCATGGGTTCAAATCCCACCGGGACACTCCGAGCCAGAGGTCTCATTAGCCGGCTCCAACAAAAGGAAATTATTTCCATCCTAAATTATAAGTGCTTTGTTAAGTCCAGGTAGTTAAAGGCACATTTCACCTAATTTCCCTTCAGGGATAAATAAAGTTATCTATCTATCTCTCTATCTACTTCTCTCCATGTGAGAGAATAAATTCAGTTTGACAGGATGTTGCTAAGTGGCCCCTGATGTAATCCAAAGCCCGGTCTAACCAGATTGTTCACAAACAGTTCATGATATTTTAAACTCTGAGATGTAAAAGTGTCCAGCAGCGTTCAGAAAAGAACCGGAGAAACATAACGCACAGCCAGACTTCCCACCGCCGACTCAGAGGCTGAAACAGAAGCGTCGAGGTGGAGACTAAAGAAGCTGCAAAGGGAAAACAGACAGAAAATATTAAGCAAACAGGACAAACAGAAAGTCCAAAGAGGCGGAGGGAGAGCTGAGAGTCCCGCTGAGTGACACATGCTTATTTGAGTTATTCCAGACACACCAAACCAAAATACGGAGCCAGTGGGAATGACAGAGACTCGAAAAGGGAAAAAAATAAATGAAAAGGAGAGCGAAAACACAGAGGTACTGACACCGCGCACAGCATGCATTTCAGCGGGGAGGGGATGGAATAACAGGCCCAGTTCAGCCGGTTCAGACCGACTTCTACGGGGGGGGGGGGGGGGGCACGAGGCTCCAAACCGCCGGGCCACGGAGGGGAGACCCAGGAGGGAATCTGCTGTGATCTGAGAGAGAAACGGCGTCAGGATGAGGCCTCTGAAGCCTGGATTCATCAGAACAGAGAGGACCTAAAGGGACGGCGGTCTGGGTTCTGTTTCACATCACAGTGAAAGTATCCAAGCAGCCGCCATTAATCCAGGTTCAGCTGCTCTCAAACAGAAGAGAGAGGGTTCACACTGTTGGACGTAAAGTCCCATAAGAGCCCAGAACCATATTCCCCCCTAAGAGAAATTTATAGGGAATAGAAAACTGACAAATTTGAATTGATCACATTTTAAAAAATGTAAAAAATCAGGTTCAACCACAAAATATGAAAGATATGTGGTATTAAATGTATTTTAATTAGAATCACCTGTTTAGAAACACCTGTGTCTCTGTAGGTTCTTCTGGGTTGAGACAGGGAGGTGTTGTAGTAGGACGAGTTATGAAAGATATTTTTAAAGCTGGACACAAACCAGCACATACCGACACACCTCTTACCGTCAGGGGGTAAAGAGGGTGTGTCACTGATCCAGACACACCACAATCAAAGCTCTGAATTTATCAGCTTCAGTTGCTCAGCCGGGCCCAAACCCAGGTGAGGATCCAGGTTCTGATCCGGGTCTGTGTCTCCCTCTAAAGATCCATCACAGCCTGAGAAGGGATGAACCGACTGTAATCTGGACTCTGTCTGGACCCAGAGGCTTTGGGAACGTCATCGGATCAGTTACTTATTATCACGTACGTCTCAACAGACACACAGGACCAGTTTTAGCCGTTTATGTCTTCCTGTTTTAATGAGGGATGATTGGCTGACTAATTCCAGGTGTGCTGACCGCCTCCCCTGACCCCCCCCCCTTCCACAACGTCCGACATTTCCAGGCAGCCGGTGGTTTGATGGATAAGCATCACAGCAGCCACAGAAGGAAGACGTCCCTCTAAATCTCCACAGGTAGGAAAGACACCACCAGGTAAACGACCACACCGCTATGCTAATGCTGGGTCTGAGTCACTAGTTTCCATGAGACTGTCTCAGTCCTTTAGCGAGTTTTTGTTAATCTGTGTAAAAAAATTCTGCTAAAAATATCCGGTTTCTGTCGACTACATCTTCAGACTCTTTTGGCTTAACATTTAAAAACAAAACAAAATGTATATGTCAGTGCTATTTTTTAAATAAAAAACTGTAAAAATAAAAAATCCTCTCTCTATATATACTTTATATTTATATACAATTTTTACTGGTTTTTATTTCAAACCATTTCACACACACACATTATATATATAAATAAAATCATTTAAGATTAAAAGGATTTTCCAGGTTTTTTTCTAGGTTTGTTTTTGTCTTTTTATCGTTACAGGAGAAACTTCAGCTTCTGTTTTGAGGGATTTATTCATCAAAAGATGGCAGCCTCTGCACCCCGTGAGTCTAAAATTTCTAAATATTCAGAGTGTGTCTCTACCAAAGGTTTGACAGCAGCGCTGCGCATATCAGGAAGTCATCCCACAACTATTTTATATTGACAAAGGCAGTTCAGAGCCCAGACCCGTTTTCCCCTGAAGAAAAAGTTATAGGGAACAGAAAACTGACTAAATAAGAATTAAACGCATTTTTAAAAAATTATCATTCAGGTACCGCCACAAAATATCAAAGATCTGTGATTTCCAGATTGTTTTAAATATAATTTAGTTTAAATAACTTGTTGTGCCTGAGTCACCGAGTTAATGTCTTACCGTCTGTAGTTTTAAAAAAAAAAGTTTTTAATGTTGATGACTCATTACTAATCTTTAAAAAGGGTTAAGGAGGTTAAACCTGATTGTTCAGTGTGACAGTCAGCTGACCTGGTGTTTGGAGCACAATTACACATCAAAACAAAACGATTATGTTGCATTAACCAGATGGGTGTTTCATTATAATCGCAATTTTCTCTCAAATATACCAAAACACGCACATTTGTACCTGATGCTTCTGTTTCCTCTTTCTGTTTTACAGCTTCTGAGCTCAGGATTCTGATACTTGGTAAAAACAACCAACAGATTTCAAACTTAAGTTATTTCTTAGGAAGAGGAAAAAGGACTCCGCTTCAGAAAACACTGTCCAGCAAGGTCTGGCGTCAGGCTTCTGTTTGTGGAGAGTCGGGTGGAAACGCTCCCACTGTGGTGAAAGCAGAGGAGCTCTTTGGTCTTCCTGAGGGGGAGATCAGACGTGAGCTGGAGCACTGTGTCGGCCTCTGCCCCCCCGGCCCGAGCGTCCTGCTGCTGCTGCTGCCCTCAGACTTCACTCAGGAGGACCGACAGAAACTGGAGTTCGTCCTGGGCCTGTTCAGAGAGGACGCCCTGGAGCAGGCGCTGGTCATCACGCCACAAGGTGACCTGCGCTGGAACTCCTCGGTGGAAAAACTGGCCCGGGCTTGCCGAGGAGGGCGGCTCCGAGTCAACTTGGAGAAAAACCAGTGCTCAGAAGATGGCCTTCAAGAATTGTGGAAACAAATGGAGATCCTGCTGAACCATAATCGGGGTCGACATCTGACCCTGAAGGAAGGAGGGGACCCTCAGCCCCTGAACCTGGTCCTCTGCGGGAGGCATGCGGCCCTGAAGAGCTCTGCAGCCTCTGCTATCCTGAGAGGGCAGCGAGGGGCGGCCGGGCGTCAGGTGCACCTGCTGGAGCTGCCAGCTCTGTATGGAAAACCCCAACGCGCCACAAGGAGTGAGTCGGTCAGCCTTTTCTCTCAGTGTGGGCCGGAAGGGGTCCACGCCTTCCTGCTGGTCCTGCCTTTAGATCGCCCCTGTAAGGAGGACAGAAAAGAGCTGGAGGCTGTCCGGGAAACGTTCGGGTCCTCGGTGGATGGTTTCACCATGGTTCTTTTCCCGGTGGAGGAGAACCCCGACTTT